GTGACCAACGACGCGCAGTCGCGGCGCGAGCGCGAGCGCCTGCGCGCGCTACTGGGCTCGTGTCCTCGCTCCCTGGGCACAGTGACGGCGGCGGCGAAGTCTTGGTTCAATTTCGCCGAGAACCGGCTGCGCCGCGCGGGCAACGAGCTAGCCCCAGATGTGGACGGCCTGCGGGTGTGGTCGTGCACTTTCAAGTCTGCCGGCACCTTCAGCAATTACGTAAGCGCGCTTCGAACGGCTCGTGCGGCGCGGGGGCGACGCGCCGGTGCGCTCGCCCGGGACGCGCCTGGCGCAAAGATGCTACGGCTGAATGCGGACAGCTTCGGGGCGCGGGAAGTCGGGAGAGCCCGCGCTGCCATCTCGAAGCGCAACCCGCGGGAGCGCCCCGAGAAGCGTTACCTATTGCACGACAACCTCCTGCGTCTCCTGCCTCACGTGGCAGACCCCACGCTCCGTGCGCTGTACATCATATGTTTCGCCTTCGCCCTCAGGTTGCCGTCCGAGGGCCTGGGGGTCGCGGTCCACCGCGCAAGCCCGTCACAGCGATTTGTTTTCAGCGGCGAAGAGCTTCGCGCAAAGGCCACCCTGGCCAGGCTCGCCGTCGGCGAACGCAGTGCCACGCTGCAGTTAAGCAGACGGAAAAACGTACCGCACCAGTGCAGAATGACGCATAACTGCTGGTGCACGGAGTGCCGGGCGACATGCCCCGTGCACGCGCCCATGGCCGTCCTGGCCGCGGGTATCCCTGGGCCGGAGGGTCTCACATCGAAGTGCCTGCGGCGAGGCCACGCCGAGACCGTCCGCAGGGCGGGAGGCCGCCTCAGCGACATCTTGAGGGCGGGCGGCTGGCCCACAAGGGTATCCAAAAAATACCGGGACCGCCCGGAGCTCGAGTGCGCTGTCACCAAGGAGGCGGTGTCGCTGGCATCCGCGCCCGTCGCCCCTTGAGTCGGCCTTCAGCGGACCATGTTTCCGCACGTGCCCCCCTCTGCGGACCATGTTTCCGCACGTGCGTAGCTGCCGTCGCGCGCAGCTTGCATTGGGTGTCCGGCGTCGTCGGCAGCAGCGTTCGGGTTCGCAGTGGGTGTCAGGCCCGTGCGTTGCTCCCTCGCCGCGCGCCGCGGTGGTTTCTACCACAGTGGCGGCGCCGCGCCGCAGTGGGCTCTGCCCCTAATGTGGCGCTCGCGAGGGGGCGCGTCACACCCATCGTCGGGGCGTGACGCGCCTGGACGCTTGTCGCCACCAGGATTGTGGTGGGCGCGCAAGCTCGCTTGTTCGCGGGCACAATCCGCGGGGGGGGGCAGCGGGAAGCCGCGCGCGGCCGGCAGGCGACGCGCGCGGTGCGCGTCCTGCGGCAGGCGCGCGCGCGCGGGGTGGGGCACGAGCGCGCGCGCGCCTTCGCTGCGCCGCTGCGCAGGCGGGGCTCGCAGGTGCGCACGAGGCCCGTCGGTGGCGCGCGCGCGCCGCGGCGCAGCGCAGGCGATCGCTATTGCCGCGGGCGCGTGCAAGCCCGCTGCCTGTTGGGTTTCCCCACCCACCCACACCTGGCGCGCCGTGTTGCGCGCGTTGGGTGCAACGGTGGCTTTGCGTCCAGGGGTGTCAGGCCCGTACGCTGCTCCCTCGCCGCGCGCCGCGGTGGTTTCTACCACAGTGGCGGCGCCGCGCCGCAGTGGGCTCTGCCCCTCATGCGGCGCTCGCGAGGGGGCGCGTCACACCCGTCGTCGGGGCGTGACGCGCCTGGACGCTTGTCGCCACCAGGATTGTGGATGATGATGATGATGCTGATGATGATGATGATGATGATGGTGATGATGATGATGATGATGATGATGATGTCGATGATGTTGATGATGATGACGGTGATGGTGGTGATGATGATGGTGTCCCGATTATGATGACGTTGGTGATGATGATGGTGGTGATGATGATGGTGTCTCGATGATGATGATGATGATGTTGATGATGATGATGGTGATGCTGATGATGAGCATGATGATGATGGTGTCCCGATGATGATGAAGATGATGTTGATGATCCTGATGATGTTGATGATGATGATGATGTGATGATGAGATGATGATGATGACGATGATGATGATGGTGGTGGTGTCCCGGTGATGGTGATGATGAGATTGATGATGATGCTGTTCATGATGGTGGTGATGATGATGGTGTCCCGGGGATGATGATGTTGGTGATGAGGGTGATGCTGAGATGATGATGCTGATGATTTTGATGATGGTGGCCCGCTGATGGTGATGATGATGCTGATGTCGATGATGATGATGGTGCCCCGATGATGATAATGACGATAAGGTTGCTGATGATGATGATGTTGAAGACGTTGATGACGATGATGGTGTCCCGTTGGTGATGATGATGTTGAGGGTGGTGGTGAGGAGCCGATGATGATTTTGATGATGGTGGCCCGATGATGGTGATGATGATGGTGGTGATGGTGGTGATGATGACCGTGTCCCGATGATGATGATGATGATGATGATGATGATGATGATGGTGATGATGATGATGATGATGATGATGATGATGATGATGATGGCGACGATGATGGTGGTGGTGCCCCGATGATGATGATGATGATGATGATGGTGTCCCGATGATGTTGATGATTTTATTCATGCTGGTGATGAGATGATGATGGTGGTGTCCCGATGATGATGAAGGTGTCCCGATGATGATGTTAATGATAATGACGGTGGCGATGATGGTGTCCCGATGATGATGATGATGGTGATGATGATGTTGATGATGATGGTGATGAGGTGATGGTGATGATGTCCCGATGATGATGATGTTGATGATGTTGATGACGATGATGTTGCTGATGATGACGCTGATTGTGAAATCGATTGTGATATAGATAGTGAGATCGATCGTGAGACCGAAAGTGAGATCGATTGTGAGATCGATAGTGATATCGATAGTCAGACCGATGGTGAGATCGATCGAACAAAATCGATCGAGTGAGATCGATTGTGAGATCGATCGAGTGAGATCGATCGAGCGAGACCGATAGTGAGATCGACAGTGAGATCGACAGAGAGACCGATCGAGTGAGACGGTGGTTCCTCCCCCCCCGAACCTCCTGATCACCCGAAGGGTGGTCGTATAGGCAGGGCAGGAAATGATGGCACGGACCGAGGCCAAGGACGGTCTCCGGCCGTGTTCGGCCTGGGCCCCGGCTCTGTCATAAGAGACGGCCAGGGAGGAAAAACGAATCCGGGGAAGTGGTCCAGACCTCAGGGGTATCTACGTCGTGCAAAACTTGCCATCGCTCGGACGTCCCTTCCCCGTGCATGTTTTGGCTTCGTGCGCGTTCCTTTGTGTTGCCAGATGATCCAGGATGCTCCCCGATGCTCCCCGAGGAAAACCAATCCACACGTCCCAGGCATCGGGGGGGCCCACGCTGCGCAAACAAGCACGGCGCGGGAGCTCTGCGATGTCGGCGAACCATCCGGCGCCGCGGCCCGACGCGCAATACTCTCCATTCTTCGCTCACTTTGCCACTGTATCTGGCAAACCGAAAACGTCTGGCCATCGCTCGGACGTCCACTCCCTGTGCATTTGTCGGTTTCGTATGTCTTATTTCCTTGTGTGTTCTTGCTTGATAATCCAGGATGCTCCACGATGGTCCTCGCCGGGAGAACAACGGCACAAGCCCGAACGATGCCAAGACATCCGCCGATCTATATATATATATATATATATATGTGTGTGAGTTTGCCCATCCGCGGTCCCAGAGGTTCCGATACCCCTTCCCCGATAGGGTAGCTTTTCGTGCCAGATCCAGTTTTAATGGCCCCCTAGGGCCCGAGAAACGAGCCCCGGGGAGGCCAAAATCGAGGAGAGCTGTCGAGAGTGAACAAAATCATGTCGTCGGAGATCTGTTTTCATCGGGCGGCCGCTCAGGACGATCCGGGGGCACCCCTGGAACGCTCTCGGCGAGGCGCAGCTGCGGGAAAGCAGCCCGAGGCGAGAACACCTTCAGGAACCCACGGGATCTTCCGAGAGTAGCCTGGATTCACAAAAATCTGACCGTCGAAGATTTGGGTCTTGCAGTGCAGCGGCTTGTAGCGTTCTGGCCTCCGGGGCGCCAGCCTTGAATCTCACCGTGCGTTCCTGCCCAGCAGCAAGTGTTGTCCAAAACCGACAGCGGCCGCTGTTGGGGAGGCAGCATGTTGTCTCAAACGGACCGCGTCCGCACCGACGCCGACAGCGAATCCTTTTCAGAATGGAACCGCTGTTGGCCTTCGTGTCCATTCTTTCGGCGGTGAGCCCAAGGGGGGGGGAGGCTGGAGGGGGCGAGCCTTCTCAGAAGGCGGCGGGGCTTCTCAGACGCCCTCCGGCCTTCTGAGAAGGCCTGCCCGGGCCTGCCCCCTCTCGCTTCCACCCGGGGCGCGCCGCCGATTCGATTCTCTCCGTACCACCTCCCAGAGATCCGACTTCGTGTCTGTTTCGACACGGGGTCCCCGGAAGTCTCGCCCCACCCCTGGGGACATGATTCTCATCTGGAGTCCTCTTTTGACAGCCCCGAGGCCCTGCAAGGGCCACGAGAGGCAGGAAAACAGCGAACAACCTCCGTCTTGAGTTTTCCGACGCCACGACTTCTGTTCATAACGTTGACCCTCAGAGGTCTTGATCCATTCCCCCGGACTGGTTTTTCGCCCTGAGTCGTTTTCTGCACGGTCCCGAGGGCCGGCACTAGATGCCTCCAAGATGGGGTCCGAGCAGATGGGGTCGGAGGATCTCGCCGCATCGCCGATGCACTGGTGACGTCGCCGATGCATCGGCGACGTCGGCGTGGAGAAACCGGGCTCCACACCGAACCGCAGCGCCGATGCATCGGCGCTGCGGAGCGATCCTCCGACCCCGTCTGCTCGGACCCCAGCTGGGAGGCCTGCGGGCCAGGGCCTCCCGAGTCAGGACATGCGGAAAACCCTGCCGCCCCGACTTCTTCACGGCCCGAGGGGGTCCGCGGCCTCGGCGCCCGCCGTGAACCTCACCGTGCCGTCCGGCAGCGTGGTGAGCACCGACCCGCCCTCCGCGGGCGCGGCCGCGGTGGCGGGCGCCGCGCCGGGCTCCCCCCCGGGCTCGGAAACGGCGATGGAGCCCTGCACGACCCAGGCGTCGTTGACGTAGGCCTCGAACACGCCGGTCGGAAGAAGTGGGTAGGAACATGAAGTGGGAAGGCGTTGGAAGTAGATTGGGCTTCCGCCCGCCCCCTGAGGAAGAGGGAAGAAGGAAGCCAGTCGATCCCTGAAGTAGGAAGGCGCCCAAAATAGATTGGGATCTGGGAGTCCAGAACTACCTTTCAACGACCGGCGTGTATCGGCTACACGCAAGTCGGTGGCGAGCGAGGGGGGGGGAATGAGAGGGAGAAGGCCTTCTCGGTACGCGGCGGGACTTCTCAGAAGCCCTCGCGCCTTTTGAATCAGTTTTTTCTGTCTTCGGGGAAGGCTTAGAAAACTTCTCACATGGCCGGGGGACTTCCGAACCTTCTGAGAAGGCCTTCTTTCTCCTTCCCACTTCCCCCCCTCGCTCGCAGCCGAGCAAGAGTGACCCCATGTCAAGAGTGACCTTTGATGCACGGCTGAGCGGGAGACGCGGGGGGGGCCAAACATAGGCGCGCAAGCCGCTGCGCTGCCACCGCTTCGCGTTCGGCGATCGGGGGGCCTCATTGAGCCCGCACCAAATGTTACTTTGGCGAAAGGCCACTCTTACGTCTAGTCGATCGTCCCACTGCGCGCATACATTGTGATGAGCATTTGACGATTTTGATGACTTGAGGTGTTCGAGGGTTTTCGAGGTTCCACTGTTCGAGGTTGGCGAGGACGCGGTGAAAGTCGCGTCTTCTTCTGTTGGGTTTTTGGTGATTTTCGGCCTCCGGGGTTGTGAGAAGGAAGTGCTACCACAGCTCACATGCCTTCAGAAACATTAATATAGCTTTCAAGTAACTCAAAAGTAACTTCGGCCTCATGTGGTCGATTTGAGGCACCTGGGCTGGTGAGGCCCCGATGGAAGAAAGCCATTGGACGCTCCGCAAACCACGTGCCTCAAATCAATCGCACGCGGCCGAAACTATTACTCCTCAGTCCTTTCCTCCTCCTCCTCGTCCTCCTCCTCTTGGCGTAGCAGCGTTCTCGCTCCTCGTTCTCTTTTTCCCCTTTCTTCTCGTCCTTCGCCTTGCAGTGTTATTTGTGCAGTTGTGTGTTATTTGTAGCGTGCCCGCGCAGGGCTCATTACTTTGTGAGTGGTTTGCTGAGGAGGAGGAGGCAGATGATAGGGAAAATGAGGGGAGGGGGGGAGAAGGAGGGGAGAAAGAGGAGAGACGAAATGAGGACGAGGAGGCGAATAGAGGGGTGGTGGAGGAAGAACGAGAGGGACGAGGAAGAGTGAAGATGGACAGCAGCGAAGGGATAATGAAATGAAGAGGGGGGGCAAACAGGTGGAAGGAGGAAGATGAGGAGGAGCTGCGGGCCTCGCTGCCGCTGGGGCTCCCCATGTCGCAGGGGCCTTCCTCCCTCCTCCCTGCTCCCATGGAGCCCTCGCCCTGGGACGCCGTGGCGGCGGCGGCCGCCGCCACCGCTCCCGCCGCCGCCCCCGCCGCCCCCGCCGGCGCCGCTGGCGCCCCCGCTGGGTCGGACGCGGTTGCTCGTCTGGGGGCGTCGCAGGAGGCGCTGGCCACCAGGGGCACGTGGAGGAAGAGGGGCCGTCCTTTTGAGGCGTTGAGGGGGGCGGCCCAGTCTTCGGAGAGTGCTGGACCCTCGGCCCCATCTTCGGAGCTCGCTCTGGTGGTGTCCCAGGGTGAGCCCCAGCTGCAGTTGTCACGTCCTTCAGATCTGTCGGTGTCGAGCGTGTGCCTGCCCAAGACCGTTCGAGGAGTTTTTGCTGCAGATAGGTTTACTATGGCTGTGCAGTGTTCCCTGGAGTATTCGAGGTTGAACCCTTCCGTGAGGGACCCTGATGTGCTCACGATCTGCGACCACCTGTCAAAGCTAGATCACGGGGTCTTGAATTTCAGGGGGATGCAGGCCACTCTTGGTGTGGACTCGCAGGCTGTCCAGAGTAAGATGCGCCGACTTGCGGAGATGACAATCGATCTGCAGGTGATCGAGCGGGTTGCGCAAGATAACCATGTGGTAGCACTTCTTGGTAGGAAGAACTGTCTTTTCTATATTGAGCAGACGCGATACGACGAGACGCCGATGAAAGTGAGCGTGGTCGACGATATGAGAACCCAGAATACCAGCCGAGAAGTATCGGGAGCTGTTGTGCCACATGAGCGTGTTGTTGATCAGCGGCTTCTGGGGATTGTTGGTTCTTTTGTGAAGGGGGCCCCTGATCAAGCAAAGCTTCTTCAGACGTTCAATGGGTTTGCGATGCTCGTGCAACTTCGTGGCACAAAAGCAATTATCATGGGTCCGTCGGTCTGCCCCCCTGCAAGTGCTCCAGAGAAATACGGCAGTCGTCCTCAAGCAAGCCTTGATGCAGACGAGTTCTGTAGGCCCAGGGGCACAGCAATTCGTTCAGAAGTCTCGGGTTGTCTGCTCGGACCGTGCGTCGGCGAACCTTTTGACTGAGCGCATGATTGCACATGACCGTGGTGACGATTGGTCGACTCTGTTCTGCCCGTGTGAAGTGCACATGTCTTCTGGTTGTTTTGAGAAGGTCATTGGGGCCAGGTTCGTGGAAGACGTAAGTGGGTCTATTCATTATGCTCTTTCTCTGAACCACGGCCCCACCATGACAGTCTTTCGGAAAGCACTCGAAGCGACGATCATGTCGATGCCGTTGGAGATCTTGTCTGGAAGCCCGCCCGCAGAAGCACAAGAGTATAAAAATCACTGTCTTCGGCTTTTCATGACAATCGGTGCCAACCTGGAGGCCAAAAAGTTGTTGCTCGCAGTGCTTCCGAATGGTGACTGGCGCAGAACTGATGCCATCGAATGTTATGTTGACCCAGAGTTTGTTGAGGCCCGCAGTAAAGATTATATCGCTAAATTGATGTCCAGGGGGCTCACGTTCGCTTTGGCCAGTAGTCAGCCGAGCATCTGGCCCAGGAGCAGGTGGCTCGGAGCGGACGTGGCTATTGAAGAGCTCGGTCGACTCGAATGTGTGCACGGTTTGTTGAGCAAGTCGTACCCTCTGTTCTGTCGGATGATGGGTGGCAAGTCAGACGTTGCAACGGTGGTTGCTGGTGTTCCTCGGCCTCCGCTCTTGCCGCTTGCCGATGACGACGCGTTGCCCCCTCTCCCCCTCGAGGACATCCCCGCCGATGACGCTGCCAGCGGCCTGGGCCGTGCTGCTGGGCAGGGCGGCGCGGGGGAGAGTGGGGCGGGGGGGCACGGGGAAGGCAATCAGTCAGCGGAAGATCACCACACGAGTCGTCTGAAAGCGGCCAAGTGGCTCAATAAGAACGGCGTTCTGGGGCAACTCATGTTAAGGAGAAGCGCGATGTTCCCCCTAGTAGAATTGATTGCTGACCAGCTGTTGCTGGGGTCGGCCGACTGGGAGGTTAAACAGAGAGCGCAAGTTGCCCAGAAACACATCGATGGTGAGGATGCCAGCCGATGTCGCACGTATCGGGTGCTCGCAACAAGGTCTGGCGAGTTCGAGAATTACGTGTTTGATAAAGTTGCTGCAAAATACACCGATGCCGAGCACTGGGCGCATTACCCTATATCTTGTATGACATTATCGTTCAATGCGTTGGCCTTCAAGGTTCTGAGCCGCTGCTTGTGTACGGTGGATGAGGTTCTGGCACTACCGCACGAAAATTTTCCTTATCGATGGTTTCGGTTGCTCCGCTACCCTGGTGAAGCTGCTCATGAGATGTGTCGAGTTCCCGAATGTTTGCTGGACCCCTGGGCCAAGGCCATGAAATAAGCCCACCCTACGCTCTCGGGGGAATTATTCATTGAGAAGCTGCGTACGGTCGCTCATGTAGTATACCGATATGTATGGTATTGAAGCTCGGCATGCTGGTGTCAGGAGACATCTCGTGACCAGGTCTGCTCAGACTCACGCACTTGATGTACGCGATGCCAGTTCCGAATATGTATTCCAACAGATGCGCACGACACGATTGAGTTGCAGGCATTCCTTGGTGCGCAAACGAGTGTACAAGAAGAAGACTCAGACAGTGGGAGGGGTAGGATCAGTTTGAGTCTCTTTGGTCAGTCTTGAGTTGTGCATGGTGGGACGGAGGGTTCTTTTTGAACCAGCCCAGTGGCGAGGAGGAGGAGGAGGGGTGGCGGGGAGGGGGTGGAGGGCAGTGAGTGGTCATGGCGCTGCGAGTGCAATAATCGCATTGTCTGCTACTCCCTCCAGCCTCCTCTCCCCCTGTCCTCACTGTCCCCCTCTCCTATTTATGCACCGCCCACCTCCCGCCCCAGTCCTCTCCCTCTCTTGCTCTCCCCCTGCTGTTCCCGCATGCTTCCTGCCCCCCCCTCTCCTTCTCCTCGACCGTGCGGTCCGAGCAGTTTCGCTTGTCTGAGCTATCGGCAGCCTGCAGGCTCCAGGATGCCCCCTGGCGTTCACAGTGGCCGCGTGACGTCCCCCAGCACCCCGCCACCCCCCGCACATAAGTAACATTTGATGCTCACAAGGGTAATTTCACTGACAATCCACGTCCGTTGGTCTCGTTCGCGCGCGTTTCCGTGGTCCTGGTGTTTTGAGGCGCTGCCCAAGATGGCCCAGGAGAATGTGTGAAGCGTTGCATATTTGAACCGTTCCTCGGCGCATTGCATCTTCGCATCGATGCAAGCTGCTGTGTTCTGGCGATGGGCCGTCAGATATAGTGACGCCGTGTTTATTGATATTGTGTTGCATTGCTGCGCCAGGCAGGTTGGAGTTCGTTGCGTTGCATTGCGTTCTGAAGGGCCCCCCTCATCGGCTGTTACCCGCTCAATCCTCCAGCGTCTTTCTTGGAGGGGTGCGGCGTGCGCTATGACATAAGTGTGGGCCCCGAATGCCAGCGCCTATGCCATGCCCCCATTTGGTGCCGTCGGCGCCTTGGACGCGCCATTCCCTCCTGACTTTGGCGGCGGGGGAGCGCCGTCACTTGAAATGCACTGGCCCCCCCACGCCCGCCGAACTTGAGCGCGCTGGGCGGGCTGAGTCACAGGATCTGGCTCCTACG